TTGGTTGAAAAAGCAAGACTGGATGCAGAGGGCGCTGAGCCCATATTCTTCTAAAACCTGTACTCTTATGAATCAGAAAAGGAGTCACCATGGTGAAAGGCAAAGATCATTTTACTTCAAAGTATGAATTTTGCGAAACTGCGGTTGAGTGTGAAAAATGAAAGCTGGCGGGGACAATCATGAGAACCTCAAGTGTGGACAAATCAAGAGCCAGGAAAGGCAACACAGGACACTGTTTAAACTTCTAAGATGATTATTACTCATTATCTCACAGAAATAATGGTAACTGGGCAGATTCCTCAGGAAATTCAGGTTTACTGAATACATGTTGACACAGGGCTTAAAGAAAGTAAAAAAAAAAAAAAAAAAGGACTTTATTTTTCAACCATAAAAATGATGTTTTAAGGGGCCAGGGATGTAGCTCAATGGTACTACAACTGTCACACAAGTGCAAAGTCCTGAGTTCAAGCCCTGATACCAGAAAAAAAAATATATTTGACCTTTTAAACATTATATACCTACACTTCTATTTTTTTCCTGAATCTTACTTTATCAAAGTAAGCTTTCACATGAAATGTTATTAAAATATGCAAAAATCCTCAATAAGATACTAGGAAACAGAATATAGAGGGCCATCAAGATTATACACCTTGACCAAGTTGGATTTATTCCAGGGATGCAAAGATGGTTCAACATATGTAAATCAATAATTGCAATACACTATATTAACAGAATCAAGAAAAAAGAATATGATCATCCCAATAGATGCAGAAAAAGCATTTGACAAAATTCAACATCCATTCATGATAAAAACGCTGCAGAAAATTAGAATGCTCTGTATCTCAATTTGATAAAAGCTATCTATAAAAACCAACAGCCAACAACATATTAAATGGTCAAAAACTGAAAACCATGCTAAAATCAGGAACAAGACAAGGATATCCACTGTCACCACTCCTGTTCAATATAGTTTTGGCAACATTAGCAACAGAGATTAGACTTGAGAAAGAAATTAAAGCAATAATGATAGGAAAGGAAGAAGTTCAACAGTCATTAATAGCTGATGATATGATACTCTACATAGAAGACCCAAAAAACTCCACCAAAAGACTTTAAGACTTGATTGACAGATTAAGTAGAGTTGCTGGATACAAGATAAATAGTGAAAAATCAATAGCCTTCTTTTTTTTTTAAATAGCCTTCTTATACACAAATAACAGACTATCTGAGAGTGAAATTAGGGAAACAATCCCTTTCACAATAGCATCCAAAAAAAAAAGAAATATCTAGGAATCAATCTAACAGAGGAAACAAAAGACCTCTACATTGAGAACTACAATGCTCTGAAAAAAAGAGATTGAAGAGGATATAAGAAAATGGGAAGACACATCTTGTTCATCGGTAGGAAGAATCAACACAGTGAAAATGGCCATACCTCCAAAACTGCTATACATATTCAGTGCAGTCCCTATTGAAACCCCAACAGTATATGTCATAGAACTAGAGAAAACAATCCAAAAATTCATTTGGAATTAAAAGAGACCAAGAATAGCAAAAGCAATTCTAGGCATCAGAGACATGGCAGGGGGTATCACAATCCCCAACTTGAAACTATAGTACAAAGCTACTGTGATAAAAACAGCATGGTACTGGCAAAGAAACAGACTCGAAGATCAGAGGAACAGATTAGAAGATGCAGAAACAACTCCTGACATACTCAAGCTACCTCATCTTTGACAAAGGAGGCAAACACCCTCACTGGAGGAAAGATAGCCTCTTTAATAAGTGGTGTTGGAAAAACTGGATTTCAACTTGTCAAAGATTGAAACTAGACCCATATCTTTCACCATGCACTAAACTAAAATCCAAGTGGATTAAAGATCTAAATATTAAAACAGAGACACTAAATCTTCTGGAAGGTAAGTTAGGTAGAACTCTTGAAGATATATGGGCATAGGAAAACACTTTATGAACAAATCCTCAGTAGCATAAGAACTAGCACAAAGAATCAACAATTGGGATCTCATCTTTTTAAAAAGCTTCTGTACCATCAGAGAAATCACAAGCAGAGCTAAGAGACAACCCACAATGTGGGAAAAAATTTTTACCAGCTGTTATCTAGAATATATAAAGAACCAAAAAGAAAGACCCCCCCCAATATAAAGACCCAATTCAAAAATGGGCATCTGAAATGAACAGACATTTCTCAGACAAAGAAGTAAAAGCAGCAAATAAATATATGAAAAAATGTTCAACATCATTGGTCATTTGAGAGATGCAGATGAAAACAACACTGAGATTCCACCTCATTCCAGAAAGAAAGGCTGCTATTAAGAAATCAACCAATGAGAAATGCTGGCGGGATTGTGGGGAGATAGGAACCCTTCTCCATTGTTGGTGAAAGTGCAGACTGGTGTGACCACTGTGAAATCAATATGGAGATACCTCCAAGAACTAGGATTAGAAGTCTCATTTGACCTAGCTATTCCTCTGCTGGGTATCTTCCCAAAAGAATTAAAAGAATCATTCCATAGTGATGTATGCTCACTCATGTTTATAGCAGCACAGTTTGTAATAGCTAAAATTTGGAAACAGCCAAATTGCCCATCAACCAGAGAATGGATAAAGATGTGTGCTTTTTTTTAAAAAAATAAAATGGAGTACTACTCAGCCATAAAGAATGAGAAACTACAGTCATTCATAGGAAAATGGATGCATATTGAGGTCATACTCTACGTGTAAATACTGAAAGTTTCTCTGGTGTGAAAACTAAATGTGTAAGTAAGATCCAAATTGTACAACTGATAATGTGAAATAGGAAGAAAAGGGCTAACGGTATAGGGGAAGTGGGAAGGGTAAGTGAAAGGAACTAAGGGAAAAGAAAAAATATTAAAAAGGAAAAAATGGAAACGAAGTCTTTGTAAATAGGGGAGGGTGGAAGGGGTAGAAGGCAGGGGTATGGGGAAAAAATGAGAACCAAGATCTGTCATGTAAAAGGTACAAGATCCCAATGATAAATGTAACTGTACTGTATACCTAAAAAGTACCAATAAACTCAATGAAAAAAAAGTAGATATGAACCACTAATATCTTGGCAAGAAAACCATACTTATAACAAAACCTAGGCCTGGCTGGCCTTGGTGCATGGCTTATTTCTCAGGTGTCAGCACCAGCCAAGAATGCTAGATTTTTCTTTGAAACATGGCCATACCTCCAGGTGGACAAAAATTTAAAGTGTGGAACTACACTGAGAATCTCACAGTTTTTCCTGTTAAACCTGTGTGATGTCGGCACTCAGTGAAAATGCAACAGTGGATAAAGCTGCTGCACCTCAGGAGCACCAGGGACCAGCTTGCTGTCACTGTCCTTGCCTGTACTCCTTACTGCCACACCTCACAGGAAAAGCAGATGTATTCACCTAATAACCTTTGATGAAGCAGTGTAATCGCTACTGATTTTACTTGTTACCCTTGAGAAATTTAAAAATCCATACAGTAAAATATACACAAAACACTTCTGCTCCATGAACAAAAACAATGGTTGTCTGCAGAAAAGCACTCCTACACCTACCTTTGTGAACTCTGGAAATTTAAGGTTCATGGAAATGTACTTGAAAGAATGACTAGCAGACAAACAATACTTACTCACACTTGACTATTTGGCATACACTTAAAACAAAACAAAACAAAACAAAACAAAACAAAACAAAACAAAACTGCAGCAAAATGACTCAGTCATCTTAAAAAAAATAAATGACAGAATTTGTGGCCCAGGATAAATCTGAGGTCTTAAACAGAAATTAGAATCTTGGAGAATCTATGTCTGTCAACATGAGCTGACAGCTTCCCAAGAGTTAGAGATACTGCTAATCAGACAGGTGGTGATAGTGATGATTCCAAGTATCCCTGCTGTATACTGGAGTATGTCAGATCTACATAACTCAATGAACTCAAAGTTTTGTAAACAAACGATGCACAGTGCTGCAAAATCTTGCAAAAGATCCAAAATAGTACATGATTGATGGGTTTTAATGTAAGAGTATGACAAGTTCATTAATAGAATTTTAGATTCTACACTGTTACCATTTTTTTTTTAAATGACTATTTTCAAAATTTGGAAAGGCATCAAAGCAGAGTGTCCACAACTATCTGAGATGGCTACTGTAATATTCCTGCTTTTGCCAACTACTTATATGTGTGGGGCTGGATTTCCTTTATACACTTCAGTCAAAACAGACTTCAGTCCCACCAGACTGAATACCAAAGCAGATTTGAGAATCAAGTTGTCAAACCACACAATGAAACCTTGAAATGTAAAAACAATGCCAATCTTGCTAAACAATAGTTTTGGATTTTTTGGAGACAGGACCTTCCAGTGTAGCCTAAACTGGCCTCAAACTCACTTCTCCTGCTTCAGCCTCCCAAGTGCTCGGATTAAAGGCATGAGCCACCATACCCAGCTTGCCAAACATTTGTGTGTGTGTGTGTGTGTGTGTGTGTGAAAAGATCATGAGTCTTCATAAAAATATGCTATTTGTGTTAACATATAATCAATTTTAAAAAACAAGACTTTTCTGGGCTGGGGATTTGGCTCAGTGACACCATGCCTGCCTCGCAAGCACAAAGTCCTGAGTTTGACACCCACCCCCACCCCACCCCACCCCGGGCTGGGGTAGAGGGGCGCACACACGACTTTTTTTGTTGTGCTAAGGATCGAACCCAGGGTTTCTTGCATGCTAGTTAAACTCTCTACCAGTGAGCTATACCTATCCCCCCAGCCCACCAAGTATTTTAAAGTTAAATATGACAAATATTGACAGGTATCATCTACATTTTTAAAAAGTTCTTTGGGATCCTCCATTTTTAAGAGTGAAGAGAGATATTGAGATCAAAACATTTGAAAACTGCTATCATACTTCTATAGCATTTCTAACACACCACAATATTTTCTAAGAAAAGGGAAAACAAAGCTGGATAACCGCATAAAAAGGTACCACTTACAGCAAAAAGGCCTCATTTACAGCTTCAAAGAATGCAGGACAGAGGACTTCCTGAGGTTCACATCCATGGTAGGTGAGCATGGCCTCCACTAGGGGTTCAAAATCAGGCAAAGTAACAAGTGGGACACAAACCTGTGACAAGGACGCCACTCGTTCGGGAGCCATCCTAAGCAAGAAATAAAATAAGGAATAATTACCCTAATCTGAGAGCCACATGTAATTAAAGACATAAAATCTTCATGCTGAAAAGGCCAATGACTATTTTGGCCTGAGCACAGAGAGAACTCTCCTAATATCTTCTAGTAACTCTTCTTCCATTAGTTCTCCAAAAAGAAACCCTTTAGCTGCCCTTCCCATTTTAATGTCACTCACTATCAGGATTTTGTTCGGCATAACTAACTACAGATGCTTCTAACTGGCCATGCCCCCAACAGAATGCCCAAACCCTCCTTCTTCCTGAATGAAGCTGGGGACTGGTTCCTCCCTTTTCTCACTTCCCATTTGATCCAGTACTGTCAACTCACTTAATCCTTCTCAACATCTCTACGGATACCTCTGACTTCCGACCAGCACCACCTCTAGCCTGTCAGGTAGTACAGCCTCCCCGCTTTCTCCCTGCCTTTGCCCTCACTCCTAATACTTACTGTCAGAACAGCTCCTGACGCCCTTATAACTCCACATCATACCACTTATCTGCTCATAGCTTTGCAGTTGTGTCCTGTCTCCCCCAGAGAAAAAGCAAAGTCTTGAGTAGCCACTTTGGCCTTCCCTGATGGGCCCTCTCACTCCCTGGGCTTCTCCTACTCTTACCTTTGTCTTTTCTGCCTCCTGCTGCTCCACATAAGGCCCTGCTGTTCATTATGCCTGGAAGCCATGGCTGACTCATCTGCTTTGTCCAAGACTCAGCTCAAATGTCACTTTGTGAGCAAAGTCTTACCTGACTATACCCTATCAATGCACTGTCACCTGTGCAATCTAAATTTAAATGAATTAAATCAAAGTAAAATAAAAAATCCAGCACCTCAACTCTACAGTTCTCTAGTAACTATCAAGTCAACCAACTGTGTCCTTCTGTTTTAAGGAGTAACTGAGTTCATTAAATCAGGCCGACTAGCACTACAATGGTATCTCAAAAACAGTTGCCAAATATGCTGGAGTCTACAGTTTCTGTCATTTGTAATAGCAATTAAATACATATCAAAATACTCTATAACATTCTCTCATAGATCTGAAGTTACCTGTATATTTTTTAGATTTGCACATTTTAAAAGTTTAATAAGAATACAACATAATGAGCAAATTACTTTCTGGTTCATGCTTAAAAATGGGATATTCCCCCACTCTGGAGAGTAAAGCAGGAGGATCACAAACTCGAGGTCACTGTGGGCAACTTACTGTGAGACCTGGTCCCAAAAGAAAAATGAAAGAATGGGCTGGGGATGTAGTTCATTATGAAGGCCCAGGGCCATAAGGGAAAAATAAACAACAACAGCAACAGCAAAAAAGAAGATATTGTCATTTATTTATGAAGTTCAGATTTATCATTCCTTTCCTTTCACTACTATGATCTCAAAAGTTCAAGCAGCCAACAGCCTGTGAATAATGTTATGCTGTTGCCTCTGCTCCATCGAGATATTCATGTGGTTATTGTTTTAACTTTTTTGCTACATGAATGTTTAAAATTAATTTCAAACAAACAACTGCATAAAATACAGAAATTGATCAAGGAACAACAACAAAAAGAAAAAAAATCTAGAATTTGATCTAGTTTTCTTTTATATTATTTTAGGGGCCTCATAAATGGTCTGTCATGGTATTTTAAGAAGAGATTCACCTACCACCAAGTAAAATCAACAATTCAATGGCAGAATATTTAAATTTGATCCAGTTCTTTGCTAAAAACAACTTGAAGGAGTGAAGTTCTGGACTTGTTGAGCGTCGTCAATTTATTATGTAGTCCTGCAGTTTGCAGCAGATGGCTTAGAAAGATACAGTGCAACCTCACCACAGGAAGGACATTTCCAGTAGTACATGGCTACGGTCAAGACTTCTGCAGCTGAATCCTGTGCAGAAATCACTTGGAGCGCTGTTCCGGCAGAGGCAAGACCTAATGCCTAGAATAATCAGTCTGAAAAGGGCTGCATAACTCCCTGTTAAAGTTGGCTTTCCAGGTCTGGCAGGCTTCAGGCCAGAAGAGGAGGCCTCAGAGGCCAGCAACATCTCAAGGCCCTTCAGAGGGTTAACAACTGGCTTGCCTGCATTTTACTAGACACAAGCACTACCTAAGTTTATAGAGACTTCAACATTGTTTGGGGAAGTTATTCATCTTAGACCTTTTTCAGCCTAGCTAGGAGATAAATTCTCAGCCCATGAGCTACAGTGCCTCTTGATCAATGTCCTCAGTGCCACAGTCATCTTTCCTTCCCACCAATCACTAGGTGGTCTCCAGCTCTCATGTTTTCTCTTCTCAAATACTTGGAGAAAAGTTGCATTTACAGGTCCTTTGGGGAGCAGGATTAATGAGTCACAGCTGGAGGGCAAGATCACCCCGTGTGCTTTTTCATTTCTAACTCTGGATGAGTGATGAGCACATCTTTTAATTTCACAGACATACACATAGCCCTGACTCTATGCAAAATATTCTGCTAGATTTGTGTAGAATACACACATGAAAAGACATCCACTATTACACACAAACACACATATACAACTCTCTCCCTCCTATCCCACCCAGGTAACTCATATATTCCAAAATGTTCAGGTATTCACAACTGAAACTAAATGTCTTTAATATCTTTGAAAATGGATGTTTGCTGAGCTTGTGTACATAGCTCTTAGTCTACCCATGAGGCCCTGGGTTTAATTTCCAGCAATCCCCCTTGGCCCACAAGACTTCTCAATCCATGGTGGGGACCAGGGATTTAGCTCAGTGGTTCCGCCACCTGCCTCACAAGTTCAAGGTCCTGATTTCAATTCCCAGTATCAAAAATAAAACAAAACACAAATTTATAAAAAACTCATAGAAATTTCACTCTACATTATTAATAAAATCACCAGGTGGTGAGTCAGAAAAAGATGACAGAGCACTGTGGAAAGTGAGTGTTGCTGAAGGGACATCTGCCAATAGTAAAGAACAAGAAGTTAATTTTAGAGCCAGAGGCCAGCCCCGATACCATGAGTAAGTGTGCAGATCCCGGAAGCCAGGGTGAGAAGCCAGTATGGACCAGAGCAGTGAAGTTACATGCAGGTCCAGCCAAGGCCTCACCCCCACAACCTGGCCACCTGGGCCTACAGGCCCCAGCCAAAAACCCACCTGGGTGCCGCCATGCCTGCCAAGCTAATTCTTTGAAAAAATAAATAAAAGGAAGGACACCAATTAATGCAGTTATAAATGAAAAAGGTGAAATCAAAACGGACACTGCTGAAATCCAGAAAATGATTAGCAACTACTTCACAAACATATATGCCTAAGAACTGGAGAACTCAGAAGAAATAGAGAATTCCAGATATAAATGAATTGCCTAAACTGAACCAAGAAGACTTAAAAGACTTGAATAATCCAATTATAGGAAATGAAATTGAAGCAATAATTATAATAATAAAACTATGAACTAAGAAAAGCCCAGAACCTGATGGGTTCACAGCTGAACTCTACAAGAACTTCAGGGAAGATTTAATACCAATACACCTGAAACTTTTTAATGAAATTGAGAGAGAAGGAATACTTCCAAAATCATCCTCAAAAGCTAACATCTCGATCCCAAAATCAGGCAACGATCCAACCAAAAAAAGAGAACTATAGGCCAGTTTCTCTAATGAACATAGATGCACAAATCCTTAGCTAGATACTGGCAAAAATAATGCAACAAACCAAAAAGATCATATGTGGTGCCACTGCCTACCTCACAAATGCTAGGTTCTGAGTTTGATCCCCAGTTATGGGAAAAAAAAAAAAAGATCATACGCCATGACCAAGTAGGTTTCATCCAGGGATGCAAGGATGGCTCATCACGTGCAAATCAATACATATAATTCATCACATAAAAAGCAAGGACAAAAAAAAAATCACCTGATCATCTCAATAAGTGCAGAAAAAGCCTTTTTTTCTTTAGAGTGTACAAAATACACAAACCTGCTGTGTTTCTGTGTGCTAACCAATAATCCTGGGAGAAAATTTAAAAATATCCCACTTAAAATACTATAAAAAGGAGTAAAATATTTAAGAATATTTGTCCAGGGAAGCAAAAGTCTTCCATATTGAAAGCAACCAAAATTCCTGAAAAAGATAAAAGACAAATATGTATGCATCCTGTGTTTATGCCTAGAGATTTAGTATCTGTAAATGTGCGTAATACCTAAAGCCATCAAAATGCCCATGACATTTTTTGTAGGCAAGAAAAAAATCTTAAATTCCATAAAGAACCTCAAAGTACCCCGGATAAACAAAACAGTCTTGAGGAAGAAAAACAAAAATGGTGACCTCCCACTGCCTTCTAAGGAAAAAAAAAATATACAAAGTTAAAGTAATCAAACAAATGTGAAGCTGGCATAAAGACAGACATATCACAGAATACAGAACCAGCAGGAAACCTTCATGTGTGTGACAAAATGAATTCTGACTAAGGTACCGTAGCTGCAGTTGAGGAAAGGATACTCTTCTATAAGAGAGAAAATGATATTTCCATGTACAAAAGAATTAAGTTAGACCCTTACCTTATACCATATGCAAAAATTAAAGACTGTAAAACCCTAGACTAAGAAAACAGGGAAAGCTTTGTAACTGGAATTGGCAGTGATTTCCTGGATGTGATACGAGAAGTATGGGGAAGAAAAGCAAGAATAGATAAATGGAACTACATATAATTTGAAAGTACAGTGCAAAGGAAATACTTTCCAGATTGAGTGGAAGCCTATGGAATGGGAAAAATACTTGCAAACCATCACTCTGAGTAGAAAGTACAGAGAATTTCTGGGCTGGGAATTTAGCTCAGTGGTTCCTCAGCCTGCATTGCTATCAAAGGACTGAGTTTGATCCCCAGTGCCCACCCCCCCAAAAAAAGTACAGAAAATTTCTACAATTCAACTGTTTAAAAAATCTGATTTTTAAAATAGGCAAAGAGAACTTGAATGGATTTTTTTCAAATAATATACACATATGGCAAACAT